TCTCTCTCTCTCTCTCTCTCTCTCTCTCTCTCTCTCTCTCTCTCTCTCTCTCTCTGCAAGTGCAAGTCAAAGCCTTACTGAAGAATGATAGAAATGTCTATCAAGTGACTTTGATTTTCTTTCATATTTAATTGGAATCTACTAAACTAAATTTTATGCTAGCATTATGCACATATTATTATTACTAAAATAATTTACGCAAAAATAAAACCTCACCCAAGTAGTGCTTTCACATGGAAAAAGATGCACATAACATACACATGACTCATTTGTTAACTTACTTAAGGACTGAAATCTTATATTAACTTTATTGTTGTGAAAACAACTCATCAAGTAACATTAATCTCTCTAGTATCCACATAAATTCTTTTATTATAATTTTCATAATAAGATTTATTTACTTTAAATATATCCATGCCCTGGTCGTGGAGGAAGTGTTAATGTAGGTTTAATCTTTTCTCCATTGGCTTGTGCCAATTAGTTGCCGGAAATATGAGTGTTCAAGGTTAGTATTATCCAACTAACCATTATTACCATTTGCTAAGTTGTGAAACAGGAAATATTAGAATATATAGATTTAAAACCTTTGTGCTTCATATTGCATGTCACACTTAAGCAAATTACAATCATGCAGGCGATTCCCATTATATTGAGTAATATCAATGTTGGAAAGGCACCAAAGTGGATTTTCTTTGCTTATAAATCCATAATGCTATGGGGGAGTACTAGTACCAAAGCAGCAAACATGGCAGAATGTCACAACTTCCGTTATGGTTGGAGATGGTCCTTTGCCAGTAGTGGATTTTTGGCTTTGCCACTACATGTACTGTCTTTCTTTCTTAGTGAGACCCCGAGGTTTCTCATTAAGAAATGGTGTATGGAGGAGGCAAAAGAGTCCCTTAAGATGTTGAGGAAATGTGGATCAGAAGTAGAGCTACAAATGTTGGCAATCATGATGGAAAATGAAGGCAAGAGGAAAAGAAAGAAATTGTCACACTAGCCACTTTTACTACTTAACATAGTGGCTCAAATTTTCTAGCAAGTGTTGGGCTTAGAATCATTACTATTCTTTGGACCATTACTTCTGCAGTCAGCTAGATACACCTATAATGCCTCATTCGTCGCTCCGCTCATTGCCGAAGTTGTTCGAGCTGGAGTTGCTGGACTCACTTATCCGAGTTACAGCTTCTTCGGCCGACGGATGAATCTAGTCTCGGCATGCATAGGCATGATTTTAGCACATGTACTTCTTCATTTATTTCTTAATTAGGTTTCCTTTATATAGATTAATTTTTATTAACTGAAATATAGCATATCTAATTTGATATTACTTTTCTTGGATTTTTCCAGGTTTCCTTGCTGGGTCTCTTCCTTTTGGTAGGAGACTATATCTTTCCACTGAACCAAAAGAGTGCCTATGTTGGTATGGCATTTTCCATCCCCCTCATAAGCTGCTATTCAATGTTCTCGGGGCCTTTATGAGTGGACTGAAGAATCGTACGCCGAAGAGATTAGGGCGTTAGGCACATGCTGGGAGATGAGCATATCTTTGCTCATGTCCCTAATCATGAATCCTTTCATTTTGCTACTCTTTTGTGCTCTCAAGGCTTGGATATTAATGCTATTTGCTGCTCTGACATTAGAAATGTGCTTCTCAATTTATAAATTTTGCCCGAGAGAGAAAAGAAAGATGCTGAAGGAGTTAAGGAAGACCTCTTCAAATAACATTGGTTTTGGAAGAGGTTTCTTCCAAAAGATGGCAATGTTGAAGCCGTGTAGCTGTAAGTTATTCGTTTACTGTATAATTATAATTTACATTTATTGTTCTTATGTATTCCTGAGATTTGGGGCATATGTTCATTTCTAGGATGGCAGCAACACTCTACCTATGTGGCAGATCGAGAGCTTAATTCTGCATATTAACCAACCAATGGCTTGAGGGAGGTTCCAAGTAACACATTGCTACGGGGAATCAATTTTTTAGTTGATTACCTTGATAATGTAGGCGTAGTTAAAAGACATGAGATATTCTTCACTAAGGCTCTCTCTCTCTCTCTTTGCAAGTGCAAGCCAAAGCCTTATTGAAGAATGATACAAATGTCTATCAAGTGACTTTGATTTTCTTTCATATTTAATTGGAATCTACTAAACTAAATTTTATGCTAGCATTATGCACATATTATTATTACTAAAATAATTTACGCAAAAGTAAAACCTCACCCTAGTAGTGCTTTCACATGGAAAAAGATGCATATAACATGCACATGACTCATTTGTTAACTTCTTTAAGGACTAAAATCTCATATTTACTTTATTGTTGTGAAAATTACTCATCAAGTAACATTAATCTCTCTAGTATGCACATAAATTTTATTATTGTAATATTCGTAATAAGATTTATTTACTTTAAATATATCCTTGCCCTGGTCGTGGAGGATGAGTTAATGTAGGGTTAATCTTTTCTCCATTAAATTGTGCCAAATTAGTTGTCGGAAATATGAGTGTTCAAGGTTAGTATTATCCAACTAACCATTATTACCATTTTCTATGTTGTAAAATAGGAAATATTAGAATATATAGTTTTAAAACTTTTGTGCTTCATATTGCATGCCACACTTAAGCAAATTACAATCATGCAGGAGATTCCCATTATATTGAGTGATATCAATGTTGGAAATGCACCAAAGTAGATTTTCCTTGCTTATAAGTCCATAATGCTATGGGGGAGTACTAGTACCAAAGCAGCAAACATTGCAGAATGTCACAACTTCCGTTATGGTTGGAGATGGTCCTTTGCCAGTAGTGGATTTTTGGCTTTGCCACTACTTGTACTGTCTTTCTTTCTTAGTGAGACCTCGAGGTTTCTCATTAAGAAATGGTGTGTGAAGGAGGCAAAAGAGTCCCTTAAGATGTTGAGGAAATGTGGATCAGAAGTAGAGCTACAAATGT